TATCGGTGCCGGAGTCGAAATCTTCGTCTCCTAAATAGGTGGATACACCGTCGGTTAGGGGATTTGATTCCCCCCATAACGAGCGGTGTGGTTGTGGTTCTCTAGAAGGAGGGCTGGTTGCCCAGCTTGGTTGTGATCGATCCCCTGCTAATAAAGCAATGGATTCTCCTGGGTCATCGGCCCATATGTTTGAGGGCCCGTTTCCAGGCTGGGCTTCAGTAGTCAAGGTAGTGTAGAAATTTCCACTGCCAGATCCCCTTCCTCTTCCAAACACGGATCCTATGTTGCCAGGAGATCGTTCGGATAGGTGACCTACCGAACGCATCCCTTTCCAGCAACTCATCATATTGTTGTTGTGTTCGAAGCATTTGGTGGTTGAGTGGCTGTAAGAGTTGCATGGCTTTCTGGTTGCCGACGCCTAAGGCGCGGAATAGGATAGTGGTTAGCAGTTGGAAGTTAGGAAGGTCGAATCCCACCGACTGTGCCTCAAGTCGGGCCATTTCGAATCGGGTAAGAGTGACATCGATTCGTTCCCCGTGAGGCACATGGAAGTCGATGAGTTGTGTGCCGGAAGTGAGCTGTCGCTCATCTTCCAGGCGTTCGAACTTCATGCTGAGGAGGAACATGATGTAAGTTACTGGGTCTGTGTGGACCCCATCAATGTCAGCACCATAGTTTATAATGTCAGGCGGTACCCTCATGGCGAGTGTCCTCGCTAGGCCACCTAGGCCGCGTTGTATTGCGGCCGCTTGGGCCTGTGGCGTCATACGTCCGCTTGTAACGTTGAGCCATGCGTTGACCTCGTAGATGTACTCACGAAAAGGTACATTACCTTGAGGGTCCCAATATGGGCCATGTGTTTGCCCATCGGTGCTGTTATCTCCACGACGCATGTGTCCGATTGCTGCCCCCAGCGCGAACCATATGATAGCGAAAACGATTAGCCCGAGAATGTGTAACGAAGGACGGTTATGATGCGCGTTGTCGCGCTGGGGTAGCGCCTTGTCGAGTCTTCGAGGCGCTCTGTCTGGCGGGTCTCCCCGCCCTTGCTTCAAGTATTGCGCTGTTAGCTCGTTGCCGAGCGGTTGGTAGTAACGCAATGATGAAGCGTATATGGTACCAATTTGGTCGTCTAGGCGTCGTACCTCTCGTGTTGCTTCTTGCTCTTGAATAGATCCTCGTAAACGTACTGGGAGTGGTGGCGCAGGGTGGTGGGTGGTCACGAGGATCGTGCCGAAGAATACGAGGCTAAGAAGAGCAAGAGCTGACCACGCGAGAGCGCGGCCAGCTCCGCTACCAAGTCGAAAGTGAGCCTGGTAACTCAAATAGGGCATCTTGCCTGGCAAATTGCATCCATCGCTCTGCTGTGAAGGTACAGTATGAGGGGCGGATGGGTAAGATAGGATAAGATCGATGTAATGATCTTTCCAGCACATAACGAACACTCGCGGTGTCCGGGCAAATAGGGCGCGCGTGCCTTGAGCCCAAGGCAGCGGCGCGCGAGCTATGCTCCCGATACTGTAACATCTCCCAAAGAGCTACCCTTAAAGTCCTTCGACTTCCAAGATCAGCGGGTAGACGGTCTCCTCTTTGGTATTCAAAAAGATTCGGTCCAAGCGTTCCCCGCCCCAGCGCGTCGGCGGGCCCGACGCAAGCGCCGGAATGTCCTGATGGCATCAGCCCAACTGTCGGAAGTCGGCAGAACCCTGGCGATCAACGTCCGCAATTTGCACGGCAATGCCGATGACTGGCACGCAGGCCCCTCTCCCTTCACTAGGGGCTGCAATTCCCGTGCATGATCGAGGAGAGCGCGTTGCAAATAATCCAAAGGGAAATTCTGAAAACCAGAAACTGCGCACAAATCTTAATAAAGACAGCCAGCTGCATCAGAGATACGCGCCCAGCCGTGAAGAAGATCTCTGCAAAGCTCCATCGGCTCCGGATTCAAACTTGTCGTGAATAAGCAGGCCTGTGGTCTGATCTCGTAAAGCAGCGAGCACTCACCGGAAAGGGGGCGGCCTCACTCTCCCCCAGCGCCGATGCGCCGATGTAGTTTTACGATGTGCTTTCCGCCTCACTCCACATGTCCATGGGCCCGCGTTGGAGTCCGAGCGGGTGCTGTCGCAGGTGTTCAACGCACGGACCTCCAGTGCGTCGAACAAGGACATCACCACATTCCTCATGCTGTCGGCGTGTCCTGGAATGCGCCCCCCCCCCACGATATCACCGCCGAAATCCTCGATGCCTGGGAGAAGGGTGCAACTAGCGACTACCGCCGATACCCATCACGACCTTGAAATCCAAGTCTCGATTGTGCTGTCGAACGCCATGCAAAACACTAATTATTGCCGATATAGCGCAATCGCCCCGGCCACCGTCCAAACAATGGTCGAAGAGGTGCATGCTAAGGAAGACAGTTTAGGAGAACGCCACGCCGGCCCAATAGGAACCAACCCTCTCAGCGACAACGCATCGCACCCAAAGTCTAGGGATGTGGAAAGCGGCCTCTGAATATTCCCATGGGTATACCACGAAACGTGATACCCACGCCCACGGACTTGGTACCACGAGGTTTCCTGCAAACCAACCACAGTATCAGCACCAGCCAGTTGTTTCAAATGTTTGCACACCCCTACTGCACTCTGATGGCTCTTGTGGCACGTGCTCGAAGCAACGAACATGCATGAATTAAAAAGTCGCGTCGCTGTCTCTGGGCCCCGTCAGGAGCCAGGGCCTGTCCCGAAACTGCTCCAGGATGGAACTGCTGGCTGGAACCCCAAGCGGGTGATACGCTCGATGCCCTCCAAGTACCACTCCACGGACGCGTCCTGCTTAATGTGGCCAACCAGGATGGTGTCGCCATCTCCTCGCTCACCTGTAGAATACAATCGGGCATTCAAGAGCACCGCGCCTCGCCTTTGGAGGCGACACTGCGAAGCCAAGCCAAGGCTTTGCCGGCACAGTCGTACCATGCTCTTGTTCTGGACACTCGGCGATGCACTGCAATACCCGACCGTTCCACTTGTTCTCCTCCTTCCCTAAAATAGATATCCCTCCACGTACCCGCGATCTCGACGGCATACCCCCCCTTCACATACACCTTCACCTCACGATTGGTCGGCCCTGTTAGTGCGAAGTCCCCCTCTTGTTCCTGAAAAGTCGGATCGAGACACTGTTTGAGCTTGCTCAAGAGGGTGACGACCTGCAGACGAAAAGATTCCCCGTTCGCGACGCTCGTGGAACTCGCATAAATTCTTCAACCACACTGCTTTCTGTACGAACTTCTCCCCTGACGCAATGCTCATCGACCCGACTATCTCCTCCAACCCGGTCATCCTCTCCTCGAAGTTCGACGTGCGGTTGCCCAAATCTTCCTGCGCCGACCCCCGAGTTGTTTCACCACGTCATCCCCCGACTGTTCAAGCATCTCCCCGATCATCGCCCACAAACCGCCTCCTCGCTCCTCGGTCTGTGCGGGGTGCTTCATCAGGCTACTAGGAACTGTAGACACGTCTCGACAAATGTAACTGCATAACGTGAGCCAGCCCCTTGTTCTTCGTATTATTATTCTTATTATTACTATGTTTGTTCGTGGTCGAATCATTATGACTGTTCTTGGTATGTTCATCGATATTATTATCATCCGTCTGAGTATTAGTCGTATATTCATATTTGTATTAGATTAGTATTATGACTATTATTAAGATTAGTACTATGGATAATATCCGTATTAATAGTGTTATCATTGTTAGTGTTATTGTGCTTCTTCTTATGTGTAGTAGTAGTGATATCTCCCCGACGTGTTCCCGCAAGGTTTTCCACAACGGCGGGGAGGAACACGTAGTCCGATAGTTTAACCAAACTCTGGCCGCAACTTTCGGCCACATAGGCGTTTCAAAAAGGCAGGGTTGCGGCGGTGATTCGCCGAAGGCGTCTTCGATACACGCAACTGAGAGCCCAGACTCGCACGAGAAGCGGCTTGCTGGTTGACAGGATTGCGAGATGCTAGATCTTGGTTGACAGATTGCTCGGCGCCCGAGCCTGGTGCTGCGCGGGACTCGCGATCTGGCTTGCCGAAGCGCGAAGTCGGTTCGGGCCAGAACCATTCCCCCGACCGACCCAAGCCAAAAGACCAAAGGAGGACTGCACCGGCAAAAAGCAGGAGGTCCGTGTAGATTGCTCGGGTTCCGCATCCCTGGACGGCGCCTCCGACCCCGCCCCCCGGCGCGCCCCACGCGCCAAGAACGGGGTGCCTGGAATTCCAACGCCGACCCGAGAATCCGCGCGGACCTCCGAAAGCTGGAATCTGCTAATGTGTTCGTTTGCGGACGTCCAACACGTCTCACACACGGCCAAGGAGCCCCAAGACGGATCTCAATGGCCACGGAGCCTCTCAAAACACGTGTTCCGTGTGCCACAGGGGACCCCGCACAACGAGTCATTGCACCATGGGTGCATAAGCTACATGCTGCAAAATGTGTGTCAACACTGTGGTGTAAGATATGCGTGATGCAAGCACTGTGGAAGAAGCAATGCGTGGCGCAACCTAATTGATGTGAGCAACCTAAGTGCGGCGCGGGCTGTGGGTGGTGCCAGCTATATGGTGAAAGCTGTATGGCGCAAGCTCTGCGACGCAAGCTGTGTGGTGTCGGCAGCTCGGGGAAAGCCATGCCATGCAAGCTGTGGAACGCAAGCTGTGTCACGCACGTGGCACCCGGCACCCACGAGGCCAGCCCACGGGGCGCCCACGAGGCGCCCACGATACTAAAGGGAAATTAGGACACACAAATAAATACACACAAATAAAATTAGTCCCCATATTTTCCCATATTTTCTGGCTTTTTGTCTTCCCCCCCACTTCCCATATTTTCCCATATTTTCCTGGGAATCGACGATTAATTGTGTCTGTGTGTTTCTTTCCCTCCTGAGATACGCCCGTCCACCAGGCGAACCTCTGCAGGGCGGGATCGCGGGAGGCCCCACTCCCCCGAGGCGGGGGCAATGAGGTTGCCGCTCCCCGTGTCGAAGACGACGGAGAAGCCCTGGCGAGGCGTTCCGACCTGGGGTGGGAGGCCGACTCCATGACGGGCCGACTTTCCACAACCACTGCCATAGGCAGGAGACGGAGAAAGGGGAGGAGGAGGAGGAGGAGGAGGAGGAGGAGGAGGAGGAGGAGAAGGAGGAGGGGGGGGAGGGGGAGGAGGAGGGGGGAGGAGGGGGAGGAGGAGGAGGAAGAGAAGGAGGAGGAGGAGGAGGAGGGGGAGGAGGAGGAGGAGGAGGAGGAGGAGGAGGGGCAGGAGGAGGAGAAGGAGGAGGAGGAGGAAGAGAAGGAGGAGGAGGAGGAGGAGGAGGAGGAGGAGAAGGAAAAGGAGGAGGAGGAGGAGGACCTCCCCATCCTTTCTTCTCCCGCGTCCTACCTTCGTTGCCTCCTGGAATGCGGAAGGCATGCGCTTGGACAGCGACTGCACCAAGTTAGATCAGCTTGTGCAGGCGATGGAGGAGAGAGGAATCGCAGTTCTATGCTTGCAAGAAACACATTTGGGTAATGCTCCTTTCTTTGACCATAGAGGGCATTTAGTTATTTTGTCAGGTGGCCCCGGGAATGTCCGCGAGCACGCAGGAGTTGGTTTCGTGGTTGCTCCTTCTGCCCGGCACGCTGTCCAGAGCTTCGTTCAAGAATCGAGCAGACTTGCTAATCTAACGCTTCGAATCCCAGGCGGCTCCATGTCTATCATTACCGCGTACTGCCCTCAATCTGGTCTTGATTTTGATGTCCGTCACGACTTCCATAGCGATCTTCACAATTTTACTATCCGTACCAAGCCTCATGGACCTTTGTACGTATTTGGTGACATGAATGCCCGTTTTGGTCCAGACTGCGATCATGCAGACGTTGTCGGTCCATATGCCTGGGGGCCTACACGTAACGCGGTCGATGCTCGCAGTAATCAGCACATGCTCGTCGAAGTTTGTACCGCTCTACACATGGTCCTTGCAAACACGTTCCTGGACAGGCCGGATGTTCAGAAAATGACCTACTACGACCTCTGGGCCACGCCTGTTTCGGAGCTCACACCGCAGAATTTCGCCGAGATCAACCACTTGATGGTGGAACGGAAGTGGCAGGACACGGTTCGAGAGGTCAGAGCGGATCGATCGATAGGTTTCTTATCGCACCATTTCCTCGTCATTGCTCGGCTCGCGGTGGAGATCCCGAAGACCTCCCCCAAGCCCACTCGGCACGCCTTGGATTTGGCATCGCTCAAGCAGAAGGACGTGCTGAAGCATTTCGTATCGGAATTTCTGCAGCATTGTGGCGACGACGAAAGTCTTCAGACAGAAACCGTTGATGAAGTGGCTGCCAGGGTCGCCTCCGGCATGGCTACTGCGGCGGCTGCCTGTCTTACCCGGCGTCCAGTGCAAGCAAATCGTCCTTGGATACGGCAGCCGACTTTGAATTTGATAGAACAACGCAACCAAGCCCGGGTAGCCGGCAATATTGATAGAGAAGTGTCGTTGTCGAGAGAGATCAAAGCCTCTGCGAAGAAAGATCGAGCAGCATGGCTGGACGACATGTTGTCAGCAGGTGACTGGAGAAGCCTGAGACAGTTCAAACGGAGAGGCTTCACGAGACAAGGGCGGCTCAGAGACGCGAGTGGGAATCTTGTCGGTAGTCATGAGCACGCCGAAACCATGGCGAAGCATTACGCCACGGTGCAATGGAAACCGCCGCCGCTTGGCAGAGCTCTTCCACACGGTGGCAAACTTGGCCCTGTGCTTCCTCTGCAGGCTGGCGACTTCTCCAGCGAGGAGCTGGCAGCAGTGTTGACACAGATGCGGGCAGGGAGAGCAGCTGGACCAGACGGCATCCCCCCCGACCTCTGGAAAGCATTGCGGTCTGACGCAAACGCGTGCGATATTCTTCTCAATCTTTGTAATGTGTGCTGGAGAGAGAAGACCGTGCCGAAGCGCTGGAAGCATTTCAGTGTATCCACTGTGTTCAAAAAGGGGGACGTGTCTCTGCCAGAGAACTACCGCCCAATATCGCTGTTGTCTGTTGGTTACAAAGTCATCGCCGCCCTCATCTTGCGCCGCATGGCTCAGGGAGGAGTTGAGGGACGCTTGCGGCCAACGCAATTCGGTTTCAGACGACGCCGTGGGGCCAGCGATGCGTATTTTCTTGTTCAGAGATTAACCGAGAAGGCATGGTCGACCAAGGGCGGCTGCCTGTCCGTGCTGCTGCTTGATTGGTCCAAGGCTTTTGATCGAGTGGACGCGGCTGCATTGGTCGTCGCATTGTCCCGGTTTGGCATCCCGGACGAGTATATCGATATCGTTGCAGATATTTACGACAACCGAACCTTTGACGTGCGCGATGCGCACGGGGAGTCTGGTATATTCGACCAGCAATCTGGCATAGCGCAGGGGTGCCCGCTGAGTCCTTATCTGTTCATCATCATGTTGTCCGTTTTGCTGACAGACGTCGAAGAAGTGATGGTGCGAGAATGTGGTCCACTCGGTGAGGGGAACACTTGCTTAGACGTTGCGTATGCAGACGACACCGCCTTGATATCTGATGACATCCCTCGTCTGCAGTTTTTCTTACGCACTCTTGTTCAACATGCGTGGAGGTACGGTCTAGAGCCCAACTGGGGGAAAAATGTGCATTTACAAGTTCGGCATGCAACGCCAGTGCTCACGTCCACCGGGGACCCGGTCAACACGACCAGTTCAGCTCTATATCTTGGTGGCCTCTTGAACGTTGACTGTAACGCGGGCGCGTCTCTGGCGCGCAGACTGGGGGAGGCCAGGAAAGCCCTTGATAAGTTATGCCTGGTATGGGGGCACGCGAACATCAGTCGGAGCAGAAAGATCATGCTGTTCAACGCGTGCGTAATTTCCAAGCTCTCCTACAGCATCGAGGCTTTGTGCTTGCGGAAAGCAGAGAGGGATAAACTTGATGCGTTCCAGGCCCAGTGTTTGCGCAAAATACTAAAGATCCCTCATTCCATGATCTCCCACGTGTCCAACCACAGCGTGCGGCAACAAGCCGGGCAGCACCGTCTGAGCAGCCACATTCTCATGAAACAGTTCGATTTGTTCGGGAAGCTTGGCAGCATGCCGGACTCAGCAGCTCGTGATGTAGTGTTCGCACCCGGGAGCGTGAACCCGCCGATCCTACACGGAAGAAGAGCACGAGGCCGCCCCAGATTGACATGGGCTCGCGTAATGCATGAGCACGCGTCGCTAGCATGCTCGGCTTCTGGCACATCTGTGCGCGCCGAGCTCGGGCCGAACTATAGCAGGGCTCGGTGGAGAAGCGTTGCCCAGGCGTATGTTTTCTGAGAGGCTGTGCGTTAGAACTGTTGTAATTAGCCTTGTGCTGTTTAGCCGATGCGCCGTGCGGCGCGGCTCCACTGACTGACTGACTGTCCTACCTTCGGCAGTGGTGGAAAATCGGCCCGTCACTCCACGGCTGGCCAGCTGCGGGGGGGGGCGAGGGGATCGCCGGGTGAGCGACGAAAAAGAACGGGTCTCACGCGAGATGACACGGCCACCTCGCGCCGCGGCTGACGCGGGCCGCCTGTTCGGCACGTCACTCCTGGAAACCAGGGCGCTGACGCGCGCCCTTACGCGGGCAGCTTACGCGCGAATGTCTGCGCAGTCGAACCCGTGTTTCTGCGTCGCTCAGGTGGCGGGGGGGACATCGCCAGGAAGAAAGGAGGTGGGATCGCCTCCACTCCCTCCTCCATCCCTCTTCCGTAAACATTACTGTTCCCTGCCGCACCCCCCACAACTTATGATCCTTACGCTGAACATTTGCAAGAGCTTCACGAGTGGAGGGCGGGCCGGTTTCAAAAGGTCCTTTTTGCCTCAGCGCCGTGCACACTCATCTTAAAAATGTGTCAGAAGTTCACGGATGGAGGGCGGGCCGTTTTCAAAATGTGGCTCTTGCGGTAGCGCAGGGCACATTCGCCTTCAATATTTGAAGATGAGCTTCACGGATGGAGGGCGGGCCGTTTTCAAAATGTAGCTTTCGCCGTAGCGCCGCAGACATTCGTCTTCAACGTGTGCAAGAGCTTCGCGGTTGGAGGGCGGGCCGTTTTGAAAATGCGGTTCTCGCCCCGGCGCCGCGCACAGCCGTCTTAAACATTGCAGGAGCTACACGGATGGAAGGCGGCTCCTTTTTCTAAATGTGGCTCTCGCCTCGGCGCTGCGAACATTCGCCAAAAAAATTACCGAGGGACGTACCCAACCCTTTTGTACACATGAGACGACTATACATCGGACCGCTCAATACAAAAGCGAGCAGTGAAAGGATCAGCCGTGCTGGCGAGGTTTCATGGTGACCTGCGTAAGACGCACCTCCGCTGGGCCTCCCAGGAGACCACGAGTGGCGACGGTTTCGCAGATCGAAGGCCCCCCAGAGAACGGCGAGGTCTCTTGGTGATCTGCGTAAGACGCACCTCCGCTGGGCCTCCCAGGAGCCCTTGAAAGCAGCGACAGTTTCGCAGATCGCATACCCCCAGGGGATGGCGAGGTCCCGCGGTGATCTGCGTAAGACGCACCTCCGCTGGGCCTCCCAGGAGCCCACAAAAGTGGTGACAGTTTCGCGGATCGCAGCCCTCCTGGACACGACGAGGTCCCAAGGTGATCTGCGTAAGACGCACCTCCGCTGGGCCTAACCAGGAGCCCACAAAAGTGGCGACAGTCTAGCACATCGCAGCCCCCCAGGGGACGGCGAGGCTTCATGGTGACCTGCGTAAGACGCACCTCCGCTGGGCCCCCCAGGGGCCCATGAAAGTGGCGACAACCAACCACAGCCCCCCAGAGGACGGCGAGGTCCCATGGTGATCTGCGTAAGACGCACCTCCGCTGGGCCTCCCAGGGGCCCACGAAAATGTTGATAGTTTCGTAGATCGCATACCCCCAGGGGCCCCATGGTGATTTGCGTAACACGCACGTCCGCTGGGCCTCCCAGGAGCCCACGGGAATGGCGACACTTTCACAAATCGCAGCCCCCCAGGGGACGGCGAGGTCCCATGGTGATCTGCGCACG